ACTTGACTTAAAAGTTCAATATTGAACTGAACTGAACATGAACTTCACTTAAAAGTTCAATATTGAACATGACTGAATTGAACCTGAACCTGAACTTGACCAAAGTTCAGTTCAGTTCAGGTTCATAGGAACACTAGTCTAAATCTTTAAGAATATAATATATCAAATATAGTAAAATTTTAACTATTGATCAAAAAGTATTGTATATGATAGTATAATTATGCACATGTTGTATGTTAACTTAAATTTGTGTTAAAATTAAATATTAGGGTTAGATAAGAGTCTATGCTTTAATTGTGTCTATTTTGAAATCTCTGGCTATCTGTAAGTAGGTACTTGTTAAAGTACCCACCCACCATCAATTTGGTCAAATAGTAAATTGCAGGTCCCATAGGGGTTCTAATCAATTTTAAGCTCTAAGACTCGGGGTATTATTTGCTAAAAATTATGGTAGTATAATAGCAGTCATTAGGTATTTGCACAATAATTCTTTTTAATTATTTGTTTTTATTTTTAGCACCTATTGCTACATTTTTTTATATAGCTAAAACTCATTGCTTATTTACAGTATTACATGACGCCGACAATCCTTAAACAATATCCGCAGAATTTCATGTTCGCGCTTTGCGTTCCCAATCACCATTAAAGACGTGTAATATGTGCATATGATTTGTTAGGTACATCATTTATAGTAAATATTTATTCTTTTTTTCGGATTAATATAAAAGTAATATTTCATATCATACAAAATTAGCAAAGCTTGCCAAAGATTGAATTTTTAATTAAACACATATAATAATCAGATTTTCATAAAAACTACAATTAAAATAGATTATTTCCTAGGCGATTTTCTGTTAGTAATGTTTGCAAGATGAGTTAAACTTTTAAATATCGCTTGTGTGGACGAAGAAGGTGAATTATCTTTACTAGTCGACATTTTCATACAATTTTTTAACCATCTTGAAAGAGTTTTAAAACTTTCTAATTTAGCAGCGTCTACGTTGTAATTTAGGACTGAATTTGCAGGTGGATTCAAGTAAGAATCTATGTTGACTCTATCGATAATATTTTTTTGTAACCATCTTAAATTATCAAAATTATTTTGTTTCCAAGATATATATGCGAATTCTTCTAATACATTAATGTCAAGAAGCGAAATGTCTATTGAAGGATTTGTTGACTTATGATCAAGAGTAATTGGTGATGAAAGTGAATGGAAATTTAAAACTAAATGGTTTAGAACTTCTTTAAATAGTGTAAATTCCTTCTTACGAGTTAAATATTTGATATAAATATAACCAACTTCGATATCTTTAACGCGATATGGAGGATGTGGTAGTTTTATAGTAATACTTGGTTCTGATGAAACTGATACTTGATTTAAAGAAGTGGATGACGGTGAATGCTTGCTTGATGGTTTCGTGGTTGTCTTGAGAGTAGGTGAAGATACAGAAAATGCACGCGATAAGTCTTTATCAAACCCGAAATGTTCGTTCCTCCAATCTACAAACATTTCCCAAGTTTGGTGAATGTTTAAATCATCCGAACTATCGATTAAAGATTTTTTCACTAAATGATTTAAAACCACTTTCCAAAATTCAAAATTGATTGATTTTCTCTTTGTCTCTAGAATTTGGCTCATCAAAATTTCTCCATCTCTATGTAATTCTGGTAATCTGAAGCATGTGCCTAGAATTAACATTTGCAATTTAAAATTTATATCCTCTTCATTAAGACTTATATTTGCATCATTTCTAAGCATTCCAACATTATTCGCAATATTAATATTTGCCCTTTCACGCGACTTATTTCCCTCTTGAATAAATTGATTGATCTCATCAACCAAGTACTTAATTGTCAATCCATCTTCACATTTTACACAACATTCCATTAATTCTTTCCAAATTCCAAATGTAGGCTTGACCTCCGGATTTTCCCTTTTCATCTGATGTCTAACAACATTTATAGCATATTCGGATTCAAATTTGTCTCTTGACGCTAATCTTAATATTGTTTCATACAACTCCTCATTTCTTCGATACCCCATTAATGAAAGCTTGGTCCATCGTTTCCACATGTTTTTGTAGTCACCTACCGAAGCTAATTGTTGAAATAATGTAATTGTGGAGGCTTGAGTATGTTTTACTTTGAAATTTTTCATTAACTGTTCTATTTCAAAGATCTTTGGTGTTAGAGAGCTACGAAGCAAGGAAATGTTTTCATTATATGATTCTTTCTTCTCTTCTTGTTGCCCAGCTAAATTGGGTCTCTTATCAATATTTTCTCTACTATCAAACTGAGGTAAACAGGATTTTAGTAATGGTTGAAAGACTTTGATATTATCAACATCATATCCTGCAAGTTTAATCATATCAAAGATTTCTAAAGCTTTTTCGACTCTCAGACCAACAGACTTTTCATCAACAGCCTGAAATTCTGGTGATTGTGCATATCCTTCTAAAATAATTCGATATGTTTCAAAAGTTGGTTCCATTCCTTCACCTCTCATATTTTTTAACATTTCCAAACTTTTATCTAATGGAAACTCCTTAGGACTAATTTGATTCGCAAAACTATTGAATCTAATTATTAAATCATAATGGTCACGATGAAATTTTGGAAAGTTAGAGTCTAAAGTAGAGGATTGTTTACAAAGACTGTTAACCAATTCTTTCCATGAAGAATAAAATGAACTATTTGTAAAATCATCACTTGAAAAAAAATCTATTTGTTCTATGGTCTTTTGGATTCTCGAATCCACTGTATCCTCTAAAAGACGATCAGTTTGATCCTCTGACTTTTTTTGACTCGAAATATATTTAGAGAGTGCTTGAACATAAGCTTGCATTAAGACTGTTGAAAAGTCAAATTCCCATAAATCTCTCAAATTTTGTTGTGTTGCCATTTGTGATTGTGGATCTTTAATCAAAAGTGCATACCTATTTATTAAATTTGAAACAGTTTTAAATCTTCCTAAATCAGCATAGTAAGAAAGCATTGCGTAAAAAGATTCACGTGATGGTATGTAATTAAATCTTGAAATCAATCGATCTAAATAGGTTTTTGCCAGTTGTATGTTTGATTTTCGCGATAAAGCCCAAATTATCTCAGAATACAATGCCGGAGTCAATAATTGTTCATCTTGAAGTCTTTGTAGCATTTTTTGAAATGTATCATTTTCTTTAGGGTATGATCCTAAAGCCTAAATCCGAAAGAAACAAAAATTATATCATATTAATAATAGAATAATTAGTTGATACATAAAACTTACTCGTATGATTAATCTCCAAGTTTCTTCATCAAATGGACCTCTGAATGATTCAATGAACGTTTCACATAATTCTTTTACATCTTCAAAATAATCCATTTTTTGCGTTGTATAAATTTTATGTGGTACGGTCATAATTCTTAATATTAGTTTCCATAATTCCAAATCTACATCCACATTAATTGTTCGTAAATCAGTTAAACTTGGAGTTTTAGAACCCAAATTAGCCAAAGGAACCTGGCCATTTGTAATTGACCTTAAAACGCTTATAGTTAATAAGTGATCTGAAGATGCTTCGACTACATTCAAAAAATATTTGTAAGTCTCTTTTGTTGGTATGGAAGAATGGTGTGAATCGGTATACATTTGGTTGATAATTTGAATGGCACTTTGTAAATCAGAGGTCTTTGTACATGATTTTAAAAGAATGTGATAGATTTCTAAAGTTGGCGTAATGTTTTGATTCTTTAAGTTTATAAACTCTCGTATAACTGATGAGAGATCGTTTGACTCAAGATGACCTTGCATACGACGAAGATACGTTGCTTGTTGTTCTGCTAGATTCATTGATAGTGGATCAAATGGAACTTGTGGTACGGGAGATAAGGATCCTTGATGTCCATTTGCAAAAGTACGGACTAGTCCATATAATCATTGAAATTACAAACGCGTTCAACTTTCAATTAAGAATAAACGGCAAAAAATTTTTTTCAATAATTCACCATACCTATGCCTTTATGAAATTTAAAATTTTTACTATTATTCCTCGCAAAGGAAAAACCAATCGGATTTTTGTTATGTAGGAAAAAACGCCAAACAAAGTTATAATTTGGAAGGAGTTTCATTTTGATGAAAGATGAACTGCTAATAAGTGAAGATCCATTTAAGATGCAGCCTGCTGATTTATGTTTTCTGGGGAGATTAAGTAGAACTGGTTCTCGAGCTGATCGAAATCTCACAATTTGATTGGTCGATTATCATTTGAATTGGTTTACCATACTAATATCGATTTGCAGAACTATTATTCGCATGTTTCGTAGGCTACCCTTCAGGGAGCCATTCTCTATTACATAAACTACTCGCATCGATAGTTACTGTGTATATGTTGTGCCTCAAATTAACGCTTGCATCAGATGTAAGCTGGATAATAATTAATTGACCAGAATTAACAGATTAGTCTAAACTATAGCCCATTCCTGACCCTAACTTTAACCCTAACTCAGACAAAGCGACATCCGACGCAAGCGTTAATCGGAAGCACAACAAATACATGGACTAGAGCATATGCTTATTCAAGTGCGTTAAGATTTCTGTCCGTCATAATAATGTAAATTGGCAGGTTCGGTTTCGTCTAGTAATACTATTGTAAACATTTTGAAACAATATGTTTTTATGTGGCATATTTTTTGTTTTGCGTGACACCAGAATTAAATTTTGTATCAAAGCTTGAAATTTCAATACATTTTAAAATTAATTCTGCCTATTTGTGGTATCGAAAATAAATTTGATCTTGTTATACTAATGTCAACAAGAAGCTGTTTTGTGATAAAGTTAGTTTGACTGTTATATGAGCTCATAAATAAGTTCGCATTTACGTGTATAATTACCTTTAAAAACAACAAGCAAACAATCGGTCAATTAATTGCATTGATGTACCTTATACTTTATGAACATGTGGAATTTTCTTTCAGCTTTGATTTGTTTACTATCGAATATCAAATACAAAGTACATTCATTCATCACGTAGTTTAGGAAGTTCCAAGTAGCTTGGGTGACATCTAATTTTAGCGGATTTTATAGATCCAAGAGGCCCAAAATTTCAGCATAATTTGATTCAGCGACATTCTTGATACGACATATATGTAAATGAAAAAAGTTAACCAAGCGCATATAAATTAGGCCATACAAACTTAATAAATAGGTTCTCATAACATAAAATATTTGAAAGTGATCCGGCAAGCCGGCTTTTAATTTTATTTTCAAAAAATTTTATATATAAAAAACATATAAAATTTTTTATTAATTTTTTAAGAAAAACCCACCCGGATAGTAAATAGACTTAAAATTTTTTTTAAAAGTTTTGTAAAATTTGACCCGGCCGGGTTACGAGAACCGATTTAACGAGTTTGCATGGCCTTATATAAAATACAACAACGGTTTATATATAGATATATATACATATATATTTTTATCGATATGTATAAAAACTAGGTTTCATGTTTCGTTAGTACCGTAAAACGCCGTATAAGGTACCCGGGTATCTTACAATTCACATGATAAAAATTTGATTTGTACCCCCGGGTACCTTGTATGGAGGAGGGTATATTATATGGGGGGTATCTTGTGAAAAACATATATTAGCCCATTAGTAAAAAAAGATTTTCATTATTAAATCGATCCTTGATTTATACCCGGGTCTCTTACAAAACACCACAACAAATAACCTTGAAACATACCCGGTACAAATCAAGGGGGGTACCTTATACGGCGTTTTACGGTAATAACGCACATGAACGTTATTTCGAAATCACCATTTTTTTAAAAAAATTGTTTTTTGACTCAAAATAACGCCCATGTGCGTCCCTCCTTAAATATACATATTCATTAATAAAAGCAGGATTTGTCAAAATAATAGAGTTATTGGCTGCTTCGCGCGTCCCAAAATAACGCACAGATGCACGTTATTACGCACAAATACGGTATAATAACATTTAAACATGAAAGAGAAATACATACTTCTTTAAATCTAAAACCCAGTAAAAACATCGTAAACCTGTTAAAGCCTATCCTTTTTTTGTTTTTGAAAAAAAGGTTCTTTACAGCTGGTTTCAAACCGTAACCAACGTGGAATCAAAGCACTGGCTAAATGGTCCACTCAAAGCGGGAAAGGTTCCAACAAACAAAGGAGAAAGAGGTTATATATATTCGTACGAATTTTGGTTATGTTCACGAACGCGTGAAATATACATTGTTGTGTTATGTTAACATGCAATGGCGACAGGGTTATGTTTTTATATATTCCTATAGGAAGTATCAAAAGGGCGCGTATTACAAAAATAATCACGTATTGAACACATATTGAGGTATATGTTTTACCATTTTGATGACCGATCTCAAAATAGCAAACATGCCAATTATATTTTTTCTAGGTGATTTTTATTATATCTCCGTTTTGCTTGGATTACAACTGAGAATAACTTTACATTACGACGCATTTGTAAACTACCCCAAAATTTGAAAATATTGATCACTAACATGTAAATATAGATTTTAACTGAGGTATTCAACGTTCCCAAGTTATGATGCGTCATTTTAGTAAATTCCTATGTCCAATGAGATGCGTCTGGTGTGGGAAGATGGGTTAGCCTGCGGGGTTAGACGCGTTATTGGTACAGATCAGTGGTTCAAAAAAATTTTTCGGGATTTACCATTGATTGATTAATACAGTCGAACCTCCATAATTGCACCCTCTATAATTGCACCCATATATAAATTCTCCCTAAATGGACGCCCTGGCATGGTCCCAAATATATAAAAACATA